GTTCCTAATATAATACCATTTTATGATACTTCAAGGTGCATATATACTACGAGTTATTAATATATATTTTAGAAAAAGCATTTAAACTGTCATTTTAGTCAGGCAATATTAAAAAGAACACTTTTTTTTGTTTTGATTTTTGGTGCGTGATTGCTGTGAGTCGCCTCTATCTGTGTGTAGCCTACTAAATAATGTGATTGATTATTTGTTGATTTGAATTATTTTATACACATTATCACATATATCATGGCTTTTAGTATCCTGTGGCACTGAATCATTTTTAAAAGCACAAAAATTGTAGCTGCATGTAATTTACATGAAAAGTCCACATTAGTGTATTTAGTGAATCATGGAGCACAATGGACTCAGTCCAGTAACGCTTGTCAGACGCACCTGAAATGTATTAACGGATTCACCGAGACGTCGCCCGTCTGTTTACCCAGTAAACGAAATGATGTGAATACTGTAAATAGCCAGGAAGAGGATGGTCCTAAAGGGTTTCCCTCCAAAGAGAGCTTGAGGAAACGCAAGTATGGCTCTTGGCTCAGGACAGGGCTCAATCTATAGGTGCAGTAGTGATGGGCAAATGAAGCCTCATGAAGCACCGAGGCTTTCCTCTGCGAAGAGACCCCGCCCACTTTTGGAGGTTCCGCCCACTTTTGGAGTTCACGCCCCATTTTGGAGGACTCCGCTCTGCAGTTATATCTACTTGACTGTTTCGGGAAAAGATTCAAAGCTTCGCGAGTGTCAAAAATAAAAAATATAGCCAAAAGCCTGTGAAAATAGTGTGTGTGTGTGTTTGTTAAAATTCTCTCTCTGATAAAATAATTTACCCATTAAACTGTGGAATTAAATGCCAATATGAATATCAATATGATGCACATGCCAAACTTTTTTTTTTTTTTTGAAATAGTTTTTATTCTTCATATTACTTGTATGGCTGGGTATTTAAAAATGTAATTGAATAAGTCTGAATGAAAACTTACTCTTAAAGTAAGATCTTTAAGGTGTCGAACATTCCGACACGCGCACGTGATTGGACCATGGATTGGGCAGATAGTGAGGCTTCAATTTCGGCTGATCACGTGATTCTCTGAAAATGCTCCGGTGTTACGAGATTTTCGGTTTCAGTGGGCGGGGCATACATGAATATTCATGAGTTTCCCGGACATGCGCGTGGAACCAAGTGGAACTGAGAATTTCAGTTCACGCTCCTTGTATCTCAGCAGGTTTAATGGGATATATATATATTTTTTTAAAAAGGTAAATATATTTACAGTGTTGCACAAACTACATTTGTTCATCATTTCCTAACAGTTTATAATGTTTTTATTAGTTTACAGTGCACGTTGTGTGCAGTCGTCCCTGCCTATACATTGATTTCAGTTCTTTGTGCTCTTCATTTGTAGCTTGCGATGCTTTAAAACTATGTCTGTTATTAGTGGTTATCATTTGTTGAATACATCACTGCCTGCAACAAATGAAATAAACGTATCTGTGGACTTTTTTTTTTGTATACTGGTGTGATGATCCATGTCTTAACTTACCCCGTTCAACATTCTCCATGCTGTCTGGTTGTAAACTATGATACAATCATACACTGCTGCAAAAACATGTTGCTGAAATTTCTTTATTTTTTTCATGTTTCCAATGTAAAATATTAAACGTTTTTACAAATATTTGCTACCTACACTGATGTTATTCTGTGTCATCTGTTCTTTGACCATGTGTTGCACTGTATCTGGATGATACACGATGATCATTGATACAAATGCATGGTCTATTTTGATGCACAACAATAAAAATTAACAGGCCTACTAACACCAGCTTTCTCTATTCTATCTACTTGTTTTCTTTTTGTTGTGTATGTGTGTTGGTGTGAATGTTTGATGATATGTGACATTTTGTTTTTAAAAATATAAATTCAATAGTGATTCACACTCAAAATCCAGGAAAATGTTAGTCATGGAGGATGCAATTAATAAAGAAAAGTTTTCCAGAATTTAGAGCACGAATCACTATTGAATCCTTGTTACAAATTAAAAAGATGTATGCACCAAAACAAGACAACATTGGAGACAAGAGAGTGTGATGTTAACGTCCTTGTAGAATCTGCTGTATAAAAATATGACATAAAGCTAAAAAAACAAACATTTCTTCACTTGATTCTGGCATTTGATACATGACATTAACACTCAAAAGTGTAGGATTACAATGAATTTTTTTTTTCTTTTTTTTTTTAAAGAAATTTATATTTTTGCTCTTCAAGAATGCATCAATTTAATAAAAATGACAGTAAAGACATTTATAATGTAAAAAAAAAGGTATTATTATATTTCAAATAAATGCTGTTCTTCTGAACTTTCTATTCATCAAGGAACCCTGTCGCTGTATAATGGTTTCCACACTTCATTAAGCAGTACAACCATTTTCAACTCTGATAATAATCCGAAATGTTTCTTGTGCAGACAATCAGCATATTAGAATGATTTCTGATTGATCATGAGACACTAAAGAGAAGAAGTTGAGATCTGACATCACGGGGGAAAAACCTTTATTTGAAATTGTAAAATTATTGCACAATATTAATGTTTTTTTATATTTTTAATTGATGCATTCGGTGACATGAACAAAGAACCTTACTAATACAAATCCTTAGAACAGTATTTTATATATCAAAACAAGCACACTCACACTTATGAACATTTGTTAATTAAATTATTTTTTAAACATGAAATTAATTTCTTATTCCATTCCATAAAATGCAGTGAAGTATTTGTTTTCTCATTTGCAGTGTACCAAATATAGGCTACTTTTTAAACTTGTGTCCATGCAATTTAGTTTAATCCAAAATGTTACTTATTAAAGGAACACTTTCATGCTTGTGTGTGTGGTCTTAGATTCCTATTCATTTTGTAAATACAGCCTAAGCCTAACAGTTTAAGAACACCAGGATAGATGAAAAACGATCCACAAATACAAGTTTATTTCAGCTGTTGTATTTAAATGAAAACAACAAACAACAGACAGTTTTAAAGCATTGCAAGCTACAGCACAACGAACTGAAATCAAAGTAAGTTACAACTAGCTTAAGTGTGCTGAATGTCTGCAATCAATCAGTCAGTGCCGACTGCACAAAACGTGCAAACTAATGAAAACATTATAAACTGTTACAAAATGATGAACAAATGTAGTTTAGGCTTAGGTTTGTGCAACGCTGTAAAATATTTACCTTTTGTAAAATATCCCATTAAACCTGCTGAGATACAAGGAGCGTTCCACTTGGATCCACGCGCCCGGGAAACTCATGAATATTCATGTATGCTCCGCCCACTGAAACAGAAAATCTCGGAAACCGAAAATCTCGTAACACTATATTTGTCCCTAAATTTCTGATTGATCATGAGACACTAAAGAGAAGAAGTTGAGATCTGACATCACGGGGGAAAAACCTTTATTTGAAATTGTAAAATTATTGCACAATATTAATGTTTTTTTATATTTTTAATTGATGCATTCGGTGACATGAACAAAGAACCTTACTAATACAAATCCTTAGAACAGTATTTTATATATCAAAACAAGCACACTCACACTTATGAACATTTGTTAATTAAATTATTTTTTAAACATGAAATTAATTTCTTATTCCATTCCATAAAATGCAGTGAAGTATTTGTTTTCTCATTTGCAGTGTACCAAATATAGGCTACTTTTTAAACTTGTGTCCATGCAATTTAGTTTAATCCAAAATGTTACTTATTAAAGGAACACTTTCATGCTTGTGTGTGTGGTCTTAGATTCCTATTCATTTTGTAAATACAGCCTAAGCCTAACAGTTTAAGAACACCAGGATAGATGAAAAACGATCCACAAATACAAGTTTATTTCAGCTGTTGTATTTAAATGAAAACAACAAACAACAGACAGTTTTAAAGCATTGCAAGCTACAGCACAACGAACTGAAATCAAAGTAAGTTACAACTAGCTTAAGTGTGCTGAATGTCTGCAATCAATCAGTCAGTGCCGACTGCACAAAACGTGCAAACTAATGAAAACATTATAAACTGTTACAAAATGATGAACAAATGTAGTTTAGGCTTAGGTTTGTGCAACGCTGTAAAATATTTACCTTTTGTAAAATATCCCATTAAACCTGCTGAGATACAAGGAGCGTTCCACTTGGATCCACGCGCATGTCCGGGAAACTCATGAATATTCATGTATGCTCCGCCCACTGAAACAGAAAATCTCGGAAACCGAAAATCTCGTAACACTATATTTGTCCCTAAACTTTTTTAAAAAGTCTCAAAAGGTGCGGGGAAGTCGCTAAATCTAGCTACAAAGTAGCTAAATTGGCAACACTGCCGGCTGGACAGGGCATCACAGTATGTGAGGTAATCGGCCAATCACAACGCACTGGATAGCTGGCCAATCAGAGCACACCTCGCTTTTCAGACCGATGAGCTTTGTAAAAATCGACACGTTTCAGAAAGGCGGGGCATAGAGGAGAAACAATAATGTACAGTATGTGGAAAATAATGTGTTTTTTTAACCTTAAACCGCATAAACACATTTCATTACACCAAATACACAAAATAATGTTCTTTTTAGACACATCATATGACCCCTTTAAAGCAGCAGATGCGCATATATATTTATTATGTCTATGATTGGGATGACACAGCTCAACCCTCTCTGTGCACTCAGACAATAGCCTCGATGCCCTTTCTCATCCATGATCAGATTCAGTCTGACTGCAGCAGTGAGGGTCGTGATGGACAGCAGAGACAGGTGAAGGTGGTCAGCTGCTTCATCAGAATAAAGCTGCAGAACCGTCTCAGCTGTGTTGAGATGCAGTAGATGTGGGCTCACCGTCTGTAAATACATGATTGTTAGAACAATGTTTGAATAAAGCTTTGTTTCATGTGTCGATGACTTGTATTTATTTATTGTCATGGTTACTTTGATTTATTTTTACTCATTCATGTTTCCTGTTTTCAGTAAATAACATATAATTGTTTCATTAACTTGTGCATTAATTCATTACTTAGCTGAAAATGTAGATGTAGTATTCACGTTGGCTGCGTTTGTCTAGTGTGTAGTCATGCATAGCTATGGCATACACAACAAATGACATTTTGATAATTATTGGTCAGCATTTATCATTATTATTGTTCATAAGTGTTGGGGTGGGCTAGCAATGCATTCTGGGGTAATCTTAACTTCTAAGTAGTAATACTTACATTTTTCGAATGTAAAATTAACAGTCTTCTCCAAAGGCGAGATCTTCTAGCAGCTGATCGACGTCTCCTTTGTGCAGATATTACAAATATTGCAAACGCCGAGGAAAACTGTACTAGGTAGGGTTGTGGAGTTACTGATGCTATGAGGTGCTCGTGCACCTGTCGATCTTATGTTCTTTTTTTATTAATACTGCAGAACTTATAATTACATACAACCTCGGGGAAAGATGGTATAGTATCTTTAACAATGAACAATCAATGACAAAAAGCAGAAAACATCAAATATAATGGATTTGCATACATTATATGCACAGAAAAAAAGGCACAATGACAAGGTTAAACATCTTTGAATAATCATAATATTCATATAATCAATGCATCAAAATTGTTGTTTATAAGCCGGATGGATGAAACGAGAGAAATTCAACAAGAAAAAGAGGAAAACGGGAAATTTAAGCCGGTTTTGCTTATGGATGAAAATTTTTGCACATAAAATAAAGTAACAACATATTCAAGAGATAACGATTTTGGGTTTTAGTAATAAATAATAATATATTTAAGGACTAAACTGTGGGTCATATTAGTAGGGTCAAAATGTATTGGTTATACTACAATCACAATAAAAGGGCAGCTGTTTCTTCAACAAGACCACAAAATGAGGAAATATCATAAACATCAAAACATTTACAGAGAGATCAATTAAACCTGTCGCTCGTATCTGTTGCGCTTGTTATAACGTCGTAGATCACATGATAACGTCAACATGCACAATGGCACAGTAGGTGGCGATATGCGCAAAGATTGCAACTCGCCATAAAACCAAGAAGAAGAAGAAGATAACGTCAACAAAGATATGGCAACAGTTATGGGCTAGTGGAATAAAAGGAAGGCATCTTTACCAGATACAGGGGTGTGTAGGTGAAGAGAGAATAAGATGTGGGAGTAGGAAGAAAGATGTTATTATAACAAGAATGAGGACTGGACATTCAGCTTTAAATGTCAATTTACACAAAATAGGGAAGCATGAAAATGGAAGATGTGATAAATGTGGGAATCCAGAAACAGTAAAGCACCTTCTTCTAGAATGTGATGCGTATGAAAGAGAAAGAAATCAACTTAATCATAAATTAGGTTTGATGGGATATGATAAAGTATCACTAAAGATATTACTAGGGAATAGACAAATGCAATCAAGAATTAAAGAAGTGTTCAATTATCTAAAAAATACAAGAAATATGGAAATAATATAAATTGTAATAGTGGTTTTAAATGACTTGTATTTATTTATTGTCATGGTTACTTTGATTTATTTTTACTCATTCATGTTTCCTGTTTTCAGTAAATAACATATAATTGTTTCATTAACTTGTGCATTAATTCATTACTTAGCTGAAAATGTAGATGTAGTATTCACGTTGGCTGCGTTTGTCTAGTGTGTAGTCATGCATAGCTATGGCATATGACACAACAAATGACATTTTGAGGTCAGCATTTCAGCATTTATCATTATTATTGTTCATAAGTGTTGGGGTGGGCTAGCAATGCATTCTGGGGTAATCTTAATAGTAATACTTTAACAGTCTTCTCCAAAGGCGAGATCTTCTAGCAGCTGATCGACGTCTCCTTTGTGCAGATATTACAAATATTGCAAACGCCGAGGAAAACTGTACTAGGTAGGGTTGTGGAGTTACTGATGCTATGAGGTGCTCGTGCACCTGTCGATCTTATGTTCTTTTTTTATTAATACTGCAGAACTTATAATTACATACAACCTCGGGGAAAGATGGTATAGTATCTTTAACAATGAACAATCAATGACAAAAAGCAGAAAACATCAAATATAATGGATTTGCATACATTATATGCACAGAAAAAAAGGCACAATGACAAGGTTAAACATCTTTGAATAATCATAATATTCATATAATCAATGCATCAAAATTGTTGTTTATAAGCCGGATGGATGAAACGAGAGAAATTCAACAAGAAAAAGAGGAAAACGGGAAATTTAAGCCGGTTTTGCTTATGGATGAAAATTTTTGCACATAAAATAAAGTAACAACATATTCAAGAGATAACGATTTTGGGTTTTAGTAATAAATAATAATATATTTAAGGACTAAACTGTGGGTCATATTAGTAGGGTCAAAATGTATTGGTTATACTACAATCACAATAAAAGGGCAGCTGTTTCTTCAACAAGACCACAAAATGAGGAAATATCATAAACATCAAAACATTTACAGAGAGATCAATTAAACCTGTCGCTCGTATCTGTTGCGCTTGTTATAACGTCGTAGATCACATGATAACGTCAACATGCACAATGGCACAGTAGGTGGCGATATGCGCAAAGATTGCAACTCGCCATAAAACCAAGAAGAAGAAGAAGATAACGTCAACAAAGATATGGCAACAGTTATGGGCTAGTGGAATAAAAGGAAGGCATCTTTACCAGATACAGGGGTGTGTAGGTGAAGAGAGAATAAGATGTGGGAGTAGGAAGAAAGATGTTATTATAACAAGAATGAGGACTGGACATTCAGCTTTAAATGTCAATTTACACAAAATAGGGAAGCATGAAAATGGAAGATGTGATAAATGTGGGAATCCAGAAACAGTAAAGCACCTTCTTCTAGAATGTGATGCGTATGAAAGAGAAAGAAATCAACTTAATCATAAATTAGGTTTGATGGGATATGATAAAGTATCACTAAAGATATTACTAGGGAATAGACAAATGCAATCAAGAATTAAAGAAGTGTTCAATTATCTAAAAAATACAAGAAATATGGAAATAATATAAATTGTAATAGTGGTTTTAAAAAATATATTATTTATATATTTAATAAAAAAATAATAATAATATCACTCCACTCTCCAGATCAGTAGGTGGCGGTAATGCACCTTTAAGTTGGTTTGCCAAAACCGCCAATAAACATCAGAAGAACATGCGGATGATGCCTGGATCGCATTCATACTTAACGAGATTTGGCTGTAGAGTAAGTAAGTAAGTAGGGATGGGCGATACCACTTATTTTGTTTTCGATACGATACCGATATTTTTCAAGGCAGTATCGTCGATATCGTGATACTTCTGCACTAAACTTTTAAATGATGAAATGTATTAAATTACTAAGAGTAAAATGGGTAATAATAAGCACTTAACTTTGTTTAAAATGCATTTTAACATTCAATATGCCTTATATATTTCAACGTTCAATTTAAATAACTGTAACTGCACAAACTATGTAGGCTACAATTTCAGTTTGTTTATTGTGAAATAACTCTGTCCTTCTGTCCTCTGATAAGCATTGTTCAGGGCTGCCGTTACCAAAAGCTTTAATGCTTTCTTATGATACTTTTGGGAAACGCAGCCCTGTTTGAATGCGCTGTCAGCAGTGAGTGAACGCTCTCTGTGATGGATTGGTTCTGTCTTGCAACATTTGCGTGTGTTCAGATGAGCAGGAAAATAGTTCTATCCTACACAATTACTCGCTAACAAAGGTTATTCGTCCAATTCGATGCATATTGTACGCATTATATTTTTGTTAAATTAACAAAATCACTGGTAAATAAAACACACCTTAGTATCAATATTTTTTGTTTGAGTATCGATACTTTCGATACTCGCGTCAGTATCGATATATCGATACTTTGGATCGATACGCCCATCCCTATAAGTAAGTACTTAATGAAATTACCGCAAGTACCTACTCATTGAGTAGGCGGTTTCGGACGCAGCGAATCTGTGGTGAACGTCTTAAAGATTCTTTCGTTTTTTTGTATATAATTCCTTAAATGTTTTGGAATAGTTATTTTTCCGGATAACAATATATAAACCAAAGTATATGGGGGATTATGTAGAGCTTGTTTTCACATGGATCCACCGTTTTTCTGAACTGATATCTGAGGCTCTGTTTATACTCCTGACCATTCCCATTTGTTTTTCAGCTCCGGTCTTTACGACTGACTGTCCGTATCGTAATTTGTAGATGAGTTACTTATTTAAATGGGATTTTAGGGAATCGGTTGCTGTAGTAGATTGTGTACAGGCTGGCTGTATGGAGAAAACAACTTGCGTTAGCTTGTTTTTTTGAACTAGCCTTATATTAATGATCATTAGATTTATTTGTACTTGGTGGAATTTGTTTGTACGGAAAGCAGTTTTTCTAAAAAAAAAAAAAAACTTAAATTTACATGCGATGGACATAATCTTTGGTAGCTCATTTGAAGGCATCTTGGGTAAAACAGCTCCATATTTAATGTAGCATATGTGCAAAAAAAAATCTGAACCGGACAATAACAAAGTTCTGCTCTGCAGGGATGAGGAAGACGAATAGCTAGAGTCCACACCACCGCTATAACAATAAAGGCACAGAGAAACGATATCGTTGGAATCATTTTCTGAACGATTTTTTTTCCAGCTGATGAACGATAAAATCATTGACAGCCAATCAGAATCGATCCTGCTATAACGAGCAGACGAGCATGAATAGAATAAACAGCCGATAAAGAATCAGAATGGCAGCTGCCACCAGCCACTGGCAGGTCACATGACCTGTCAGTGGCAGCTCCTGCCAGCCAGTTGAAGATTGAACCCCCACTCCGATAAAGTTCGCTGGTGTGGACGCTAATGTCATTATCTTTGTAGTTACGTCGAAGTAAAGTTAAATCATTTTACACACTTAAGTGGGCAGGTTTGATTAAGAATATCTTTACATTTATTAATTCTTAATAAAATGTGTGCATATTTGGTGTGTTTTGTTCAGAACTGAAAAAGTAATCAAGCTTGTTCCTGAAAACCTTCTCATGAAACGCAAGGCATACCAGGCTATCAAAGCAGCTCAAGCCAAACTTGCATTAAAGCAGAAGAGAAAAGTGAGAATTCTTTCTCAATAACCTGCTTTTATGAATAGTCCAATGATTGCTTCAGAACAAAGTTGAAATTGTCAAAACTTGACAGGTTCAAAAAGGAATTCCCTTGAAGTTTAAGCACTTGGAGGAGTTTTTGAAAAACAGCAAGAGGAAGAGTCGAGATGAGACACGACTCGCCAGACTCAAACATAGACCTCAGCCTGGTGTTTGCTGTCCATCAGAGAGTAATGTCCACTTATGCATCATTCACAATGAGGTTAAAGGGATAGATCACTCAAAAATGAAAATTCTGTCATCATTTACTCACCTTCACGTTCTACACCTGATGGAAAAACTCAACTGATATTTATTCTGTGGACAAAAACACATACTGTATCTTTTGTGAGATGAAAGAGTGAAATGATTTTCATTTTTGGGCAAACTATTCCTTTAAGAATCCTTTAAGACTATTCCTTTATTGATTGTTCCATATCTGCATGAACTTTTTTTTTAGTTTAAAATTCTCTTATGATTGCTTGTAGGGTCAAAGGTGTGAGCCCCAAAGTGATCAAGGCCATTCAGATGCTGAGGCTAAGGAAGCTCTTCAGTGGCACCTTTGTGAAAGTCAGCAAGGCTTCTATAAAAATGCTTAAGACTGTGGAGCCTTATGTTGCATGGGGGTGAGTAATCATAAAATGTCCATTTTACTTAAAAAAAAAAAAATAATATCTGAACAGATTTTAAAAACACCAGATCTGCAGATTGGCATTGGCTTTGACTTTCAGCAACTGTTGTCGAGTCTTCCAGACTGTAAATCGGGACAAAAAACTGCAAAAGTTTTTTTTTTTTGTCTTTCTTTTAGTGAATTTCACTTGTTTCATTTATTGTTGTGTTCTCTTAACAGTTATCCCAACTTGAAATCAGTCCGTGAACTCCTATTGAAAAGAGGTCTGGTGAGGATTGATAAGAGAAAGATTCCTCTGACCGACAATACAATCATAGAACAGCATCTCGGTAAGTCATTGGGACATGGTAGATACATTTTCATTCAGTGGGAGATTGGGGATTTTGGGGTACCTAACAGAAAAGAATGAACTTTAACAAGTAAAAGGAATTATGTAATCCGTTTTTTGCAAAAAGGGGGCAGTGTAAACTATATTGGACCTGACAGCAATTGTGTTGGGAAAAAGTAGCTATAAATGTAAATAGACAGTACAGGGTTTCCGCGGGGCCTTAAAAAGTCTTAAATTGTACAAGAAAGTCTTAATTATGATTTCAAGAGGTCTTAAAGCAGGGTTGTCCAAACTCGGTCCTGGAGGGCCGGTGTCCTGCAGAGTTAAGCTCCAACCCTAATTCTGCAGGACACCGGCCCTCCAGGACCGAGTTTGGACAGCCCTGTCTTAAAGGGATAGTTCACCCAAAAATGAAAATTTGATGTTTATCTGCTTACCCCCAGGGCATCCAAGATGTAGGTGACTTTGTTTCTTCAGTAGAACACAAACAAAGATGAACTCAAACCGTTGCAGTCTGTCAGTCATATAATGTACATATAATGTAAGTAAATGGGAATCACGGCTTTGAGAGTCAAAAAAACATACACAAACAAAACCAAATTAAACCCTGCGGCTCGTGACGATACATTGATGTGTAAAGACATCATCTTCTTGCTTTACGGCAGATTGCAGACTTATAAGTGCATTACCGCCACCTATCTCTCAAATGGACCATTAACACTCTATCTACAATCTCGATTAGGAGTGTCAATGGTCCATTTGAGAGATAGGCGGCACTTATAAGTCTGCGATTTGCCGTAAATCAGGAAGAAGAAGACGTGGCTGAAGAAGACGTTGTGAACGTGCTCAGAACAGTTCAGACATTGCAGTGCATCAGAGGTAAAAAAACGATATAAATACTGTTCAGTTTCTTGCACAGACCGATCGTTTCATGTCTTTACACATCAATGTATCGTCACGAGCCGCAGGGTTTAATTTGGTTTTGTTTGTGTATGTTTTTTTGACTCTCAAAGCCGTGATTCCCATTCACTTACATTATTTGATTGACAGACTGCAACGGTTTGAGTTAAAAATCTTCGTTTGTGTTCTACTGAAGAAACAAAGTCACCTACATCTTGGATGCCCTGGGGGTAAGCAGATAAACATCAAATTTTCATTTTTGGGTGAACTATCCCTTTAAATTTGGGGACGGAAAGACCAGAATTGCTATATGGCTCAATGTGACAATTCAACTTCAAAAGGCTATGATTTCATTAAATGCTGCAGGTTCATAGTCCGGTGCTGCACTGCTTTGTGTTCGTGCCATTATCGGAGAAACCATTATATTTCTACCAAACGCACCACCTGCTGGCAGAGAATGAATGTGTATTTTCAATAAAACTGTTGTTTTGATCAGAGTTCAGACAAATGCGAAAATCCACCCATGTTTTTACACTGCAAACACGCAGAGCTTTAAATGTGAACTGGTGGATCGATAAGAAAACAATACATTATAAAAATCTTAATGGGGTGGGCGATATAGTCTGCAATAATATCGTAATTGTAGTTTTAATGATGTGCGATTCGACATTATCGAGTATATTGCGAAAAGCAAACAAAACACCTACAGAGTGCATGCATACATTACGTGATAAAGTCTAGTAAAGTTAACAGCTTAAACTAGTGCACGTACGCATTTAGAGTGCCTTTTTTTTACTGCATGAATCAGTCTATTAAAATGCATTTAGAATGATCACATAATTCAAGATATGGGGGCAGAAAATTTATAAATTTATATAATTTTATATAGTTAATATCACACGAAGAGTGCCATTTTTTTCTCCAAAAGTCAGCATTATTACAAATAAGTTAATATTAAGAGACTTACGTTTTAGACACCATATTACCTGCTTTTGTTCTATTTCGCCAACAAAAATCATTACAAACAAAGCCACAGCACTGTTTTGTGTCTCTGAGCAACATGACAGTGTTTCCTTCCTGAATGAATCAACCGTTTAAATGATTCGGTTCAATCGCAATGACTCACTTATTAACTTTGACTTGCTGCCACCTACTGGCGGTTTTAACTTCACATTTAAAGTATCTTTTAATTTAAAAAAAATAATTTCAAACATCAGTTTTGAATGTTTTATGTTTAAAATACCAAAACATTATTTATGCATTTGTAACTGCAGGTTAAAGTATTCTATGCCCCTCTGAGCTGCATTAAACAGTGTGTAAATGCATCTAAATGCCACTTCAGATGCAGCGTCTGTGTTTTCTTTGCATTGCAAAGATGAGTTCTGTTGATACTGATTTCATTTGCTTGGTAACAGCCCAAATGCAAGAATTTGACTCAAAAGATGATGCACATTTTTAGAAAAAAATTGTAAAAATTGGCTTAATGCCAATTAATGGTAAAAATGCCCATAAAACTTGTTGGAAAAGATTAATTTATATCTCTGCTGTGAACTGACCACACAGAATATGAAGAATATCAAAAATTCAGGAGTCAGCTGTCCACTGTAGTCCTTAAAATACCAGCACAATAACACACTCAATGAAATATCGTCTAATTATCGTTATCGATAAAATTCCAGAAAATATAATTTTTTGTCAATATTGCACACCCCTAATTTATGTTATTTAATTTATATAACAATTTATCCATAATAATTGTTTAAATTAATAATTATTACTTTTGACCCATCCATTTTCTTAAAAATGGTTTAAAGCCTGAAATGTAAAGTTTTATCATTTGTAAAACTTTTTGTTTTTGTGAAAAACTTGTATCTGAACTGTAAATTATGCTTTTTACAGTAATTTTACAGTTTAATATGGTACTGTAGGCATTGCTCTACCCCGCTCATATGGTATTACATTTATTTGTGCAGGTCTTAAAAAAGATCTTAAAATGTCTTACATTTGAGCTTAAAAATCCTGCAGAAACCCTGCAGTGGCAAAACAAAATCTTAGTAATTTTGTAATGACAATTATCTAATAGGCTTCATATTTATACTGACAGTTTTAAATGAAACATATAGTCTGAATGGGTTTCTTCTGTTTGTGTCTCAAGGACAATATGGGATCATCTGTTTGGAGGACCTTATCCATGAGATTTATTCTGCTGGAAAGAAATTCAGGGTGGTAAACAACTTCCTGTATCCGTTCCGTTTGTCAGTACCACGACATGCTGCTAGAGACAAAATTGGACTCATTAAAGATGTTGGTGATCCTGGACCCAGAGCTGAGGACATAAACACAGTTATCAGGAAACTCAACTGAGCCAATAAACACTTCGTTCCATTGACTTCCAATCATACACTTACGAATGTCGGAGAGCAGAAACGCAAGCTCGTGAAGAAATTTCACGTTTTGCTGGTGGTCCAAGGTTCAAGTTGTGAATTTTGACCTGTGAATTATTAATGCAAATTCAACAAGAGGGGACAATTATAACATACAAATATTCATGGACTCAACTATCAAGCTAAAGTACAATGGGAAGAATTTACCTCAAGTATAAGAGATAAAAATTACTCTGTGGCTGTTCTATGTGCAAGCATCAATGTCTTGAACTTGATTCGAGCCGCAACCGGTAGCCAGTGCAAGGAGATAAAGAGAGGTGTAACATGGGCTCTTTTGGGCTCGTTGAAGACCAGTCGTACCGCTGCATTCTGAAACCAGATGTAAGTTAACTAGTAGAAACCATAGACTGTATAAAAACAGGTTGAAACCTATCACACTGAAAGCAAGGGCTCACTTGTAAAGTTTGATCTTACATCAATAAACGCCATCACTAATTTGCAATGTGACATTACACTACAGTTTCTTAGACTATGCAGTAGCAAAACTATGGAGTTTTTTTGGGGTTGTTTTTTATTATACAGAAAAGATCCATTTTTACATAACATCACATAGTAATAACATTGACAGAGAAAATAGTTTTACAGTGGTGTGAAAAAGTGTTGTATCGCAAACACTTGATTGCAGTTGTTGCTGCAAAGCGTGGCACAACCAGTTATTAGATTTAGGGGGCAATTACTTTTTCACGTAGTGCCAGGCAGGTTTGGACAGCTTTTTTCCCTTAATAAAATAAATAATCATTTAAAAACTGCATTTTGTATTTACTTGCATTATCTTTGTGTAATCTTAAAATTTGTTTGATGATCTGACTCTTTTAAGTGCGACAAATATGCAAAAATTTTAAAAACAGGAAGGGGGCCAACACTTTTTCACACCACTGTATATACATTGTGTTTGCTTTGTTACATCACATTATAATTTATAAAGGATGAGTACATTATACATCTGTACATTATAAACATGTCTAAAAGAATAAAATAATAATAAATATACCGGTGTGTGTGTATGTAAATGTACACACACATTCTCTCTCTCTCTCTCTCTCTCTCTCTCTCTCACACACACACACACACACACACACAGAGGTTTACATTTGTGAAAAGTGGGGACATCCCATAGGCCTAATGGTTTTTATACTGTACAGACCGTATATTCTATTGCCCTACACCAACCCTACCCCTAAACCTACCCCTCACAGGAGACTTTGTGCTATTTCAGATTTTCAATACACTCCATTCTGTGTGATTTATAAGCGTTTTGAAAAGTGGGGACATGGGGTAATGTCCTGAAAAGTCACCTTCTCCTTGTAATACCTATGTCATACCTTTGTCATTATACAAATTTATGTCCTCATTTGTCACAAAAACGCGCACACACAAGTAAACAAATCCTTACAATTTTCCCCAAAAATCTTTTTCCAAAACCATCCATATTAATCTTAAATCAAGACAATGGTAAAATAAATAAAGAAATATATGTTGCACAGGTTTTTGTTATTTATTTAGTTTCTTGGCTACACATCTTGGAAAGACGTTTAAATCGAATATATTTTAAACTTTTGAATTTTGTGGATTGAAAAAAACACATTTCTTAGTTTATTTTACCATTGTCTCGGTTTAAGATTAATACTGATGGTTTTGGAAAATTATATGTATACGTGTGTGTGTGTGTGTGTGTATATTATTGCTTAGAATGTTATAGCGCCTCCGCTAATCTCTTTACACTCAAAGTTTGAAATATTTTTTTAAAGTGAGAACATTTTGGTTTGCAGGCAAATCATTTCATTTTGTGAATGTGAAAGTTTACCTTTAAAATACGTCGTGAGCGATTTTTACAAAAAGTGACCATAATCACTTGCATATAAAGATGTAAAACACTTCTGGAGAGCTTTCCCGCGCGTGGGGAAGGATGATTAGTTCAGGAGAGTCGCGAGGTAGCGACATGGTGACGTCCCAGCGTGACGTCGGAAGCACATGTGTATCAACAGCAACCTTTACTGGGATGTCAAGGAGAGTAGGGGTGGTCTGAACCCAGACTGCTTTAAACCTTTCTCCAGTCATTACTCATTTTTCATCGGATGAACTCTGACCAAGGTGAGACGATACACGATGTCTGAGCAGAATGAATGATAAGGTAGGCTAGCTAATAATCAGCTTCGTTGATTATAATGGGAGCGTTCTCTTTATTTGCGACGCAGCGCGCACTTACTGTATGTTCTGGTGGGTAGCGCATATTTCGCTGTTGTGATGAAATGGTCACCCTTTTACAGCATTTCATTTCCTTCAGGCATCGTGCTATTCTCCGCAGCTATTGCATGCAAGGACACGGTCATCCACAGGAAACATTAGCCCGAACACGTTGTAGCTGTCAGATGCAGCTCTTCGTAGCTGTACTTTACATCGGGTTAAATCTCTAACTTCTCTAACTATGAAATTAAATATTCAAAGCCGCTCTCTCTATCTCTCTTCATGTGAGTAGTACACGCGCAATATATTCCTTCTCGAGCTCGTGGCTCTTGCTCGCGCATAGCGCGTGGGTTGAGACAATTGATTGAAATAGTAAACCATCTTCGTTTAACCAAACGCCATTTTTCTTTCATGTTACGCTCATCAAATGACGTTTTAATTAATATTGTGATAGATTAAAATTCACTTCAAAACAGTGTTGTATCCCGCTATTAAAACGAATTGTGAAAATGTCATGGTGTCACTGTCAGTGTTTGCAGACCCGTATTCATTAAAATGTTTATAAACTATACTTTACCAGTAAGTTGTTGCATTTCAATCCCTTAATATTTATCTTGAATCCATATTGTATTAAAATTATATTAACATTTTATTTCGGAGTCCGGGTACTTGGCCTGGAGTAATGGCTGATGAAAATTCATCTTTGCAGCACAGTAATGAATAATATACTTTATTATATCTTTTCATGTGACAACACTAAAGAAATGACACTTTGCTACAATGTAAAGTAGTGAGTGTACAGCTTGTATAAGTCAAGTCAAGTCTGCTTTATTGTCAATTCTTCCACATGTACAGCACATACACACAGAGAATTGAAATTGCGTAACTCTCAGACCCTTGGGTGCATACAGATAACATAAATACAGATTAAATACAAAATACAAATATACAAATAAGGTAAAATGTAAAAATATATATATAAAGCACAAGGCATATGGCAGATAGAGTGCAAACCAGTAAAGTAAACAACAGTGCAGATATAGTGATTGTAGTGCAAAAAATGATTTGTAGTGCAAAAGAGCTTATTCGGACTGATTAAAGTGACAGTGTGTGTGTATTTGGGAGGTAGCAAGGCAGTGGTCGTCTTGGAGGTGTGTTTGGGGTCGTTATCATGTTGGAATACTGCCCTGCGGCCCAGTCTCCGAAGGGAGGGTATCATGCTCTGCATGTACAGTACATGTTGGCATTCATGGAAACTGTAGCTCCCCAGTGCCGGCAGCACTCATACAGCCCCAGACCATGACACTCCC